AAACTCTATATATCCAATTTAGATCAAAACAATTGGAGATATCATACAATAAACTAATTATCAACTGGTCGATCAAGGCTATTTCTTACAGCTGGGAGTAAAGTTGGTTTTCAGATTATCCTAAAATAAAAAGAATTGTTCTAAAAATTCCTAAATTGGTCCAAATTATCCTATATTTTTACTAATGCGAAAACAATTAACGATTGACATACAACGTAGTTATTATATTCATGATTAAATTGGTAGCAGTAAAGCATGTTATATTTCAGTCATGGGTGATGACGGAATAACTATGGTTGGTCATTAATTTAAAGAAATCGGTGTTAAAAAGAATGAATACAAAGCGTTCAAATATTATCAAAAATCTGATAGTAATTTAAATTTAACCCTAACACAAGCCCTAACCCTCATAGGAGGACATTCATCTGATTGGCTGATGTAAATCAATTGCCCGGGTAACTTATTTATACATTTTAAAGTACTTTTTGGGAACACAACGTTTCACTAACAAAAAATCACCGTAAAAGCCATTTTTCTCTTCGATAGAACGTCTATATTCACTATGCTAAAATAATCAGTAATAATCAGTATCCCCGCGAATTTTACTTAGAAGGCAAAATATGCCTACCGTTTATTGGACCATATCAAATTATACTGTAGAGTGAAGGTAACCAGAAATGTTTTCGTCTAAAACTATTTTATTACGTTAGATTTAAATAAACTTTTATTTTTAACTGTTTAATTTGAATAGGTACAAGCTCTTTAACAAGAAGATCCGGGCTTAATATTTAAATTTGGTCGGTTCTTGTAGTGTGTTTGAGCTTGTCAACCGTGAATTAATAGTTAAAGTTTTAAAGGTTTAATTTATATCTTATATGGTAGATTCTTTAATAGTTTGAGTTTATTAGTAATAAATATCGTATTTACCCACTTTACGCGTATCTATATCTATTCTCTACATATTAATAATAAATTCTTTCGCGTGTATTTATTAATTTGTAAGCTTCTTTATACGTCCTAACCCCCAGCATAACCACCACGATCAGTTACGTAATTGCTGTTTAAAGTCTGATCTGAGATTTTACTTAACCGGATCTCATACAAAATTATTATTGTTATTATTAAATAATAAGTTACAAAGTTTTTATTGCGTCAAAAAAAAAGTGTTTATTCGAAATTTGTTCGGTAAACAATTATTACCTAACTTTACATACTATATCATGGATTTTCATTGCGTCAAGAAAAATAGATATTCGAAATTTATTTGGTAAATGTTCATGAATTTAAGTTTACTAATAAAAAAAAGAGTATTTTATTTCGTGTGTTCCAGGTTTTTCGCTTGGTTCAGATTCTTTATTTCATCTATTATCTTTTGAATTGATGTGAAATTGATTTAAAATTTGGGTCGATATTATCACATACTAATTTTGATTGGTCAAAAATTTCAAAACAATCAAGTGATCAGGGACCCGGAAAATTTATTTTATTTATTTCAAAAATTTATTTGGAAAATCGTAAATATTTGTATAAATTTGGATAATTTTTTTTAATTATAATTTTTAGCAAAAATCAATAATATGCAAGAATTTTATTAATTGCTTCTATTAAAATACAACATATATTTTTACTAATATTGGTGAAGAAAATGAAATTTTATTTTCTGCTATTTTTTTTTTTATTTGAATTTCAAGAATAATTTAAGATAAGAAATGAATTGCAACTTAAGATAAGAAATGAGTTAAGATGAGGAACGATTTAATTTAAAAGATGAGTACTAAAATAAAGAATGATTTAAGATGAAAGAAAAGATTGATGCTAACTTAAAGATAATAGTCATCTCTTTTTATAATTTTTAGATACTACAAACAAATTAATTCTCTGATATCTGAAAGTATTGATATACGATAAGTATTTTTTTAATTTTTTTCAAATATACTTATGAATTTATATATATTAATTGCATTATATATATAAGTACAAAATTGATTTTGTAATATTATATTTAAAATTCATATATAAGCATGAGATTGATTTCATAATATTATATTTAAAATTAATAAATTTAAAGTGGCTAATTTATTTAATTCATATATCAAATTATATATTGTTAATTCATATTGATAAATTTAAAGTGATTGCTAATTTATTAAATTCATTTATTTATTAAATTTTGTATTGTTAATTGTATTTTGTATATTAGCATAGTATTGATTATTTGTAACATTATATATAAAGAAAGAGTGATTAATTATTTAACCACTAAAATATGAATAATATATAGCAATAATTTTATTAATTTTTAATTGCATATTGCATATTGCTGCATTGTGCAAATTGTATTATACAAATATTTCAAAAGAATAATGTAAAGCTCTAGATAATATTATAAATAAAATATAATATTACGTATTATATGAATATTTTAACAAGAATAGTTTAAATAATATCACAAATGAGTACAAGTTCTAGATAACATCACAAATATACATGTTGGCAAAATCCTGACTTACTATAGTTTGGGATTTGTCTATCATCCCAAATCCCAAATTCCAAATTCTAGCAAAGCTAATATCTTAAAAACTTTATTAATAATCTTTATTTAAACAAATTATATATATTCTTATAGTTATAAATAATATATTTACAAAATATTAAAATTATTTATTTGATTTAATTTTTTATAAATAGCAATTGTTTTTTTATTATTTGAAGTTTTGCCAGCAAGTATAATCACAAATAAAATATAATATCATGAATATTTTAGAATTATAGAACTCAAATAAAATTTTATTAAGCTTAAATAAAAAAACATATACAATAAATATATATATATTGTGCCTTATATTCTTTTCTATGTTAGATTGAAAATAATACATCTTAGATACCAATCAGGTGAGATGCATAACTTCTAGATTAGTCACCTGAGGTGTCTGAAACTGTAATATAAAGTACAAGTTAAAAATATAATCACTTTTTTTTTATTTTGAATTTAGTATGTATATACATAATTTATTGCTCAATGGCAAACTAATTTAAAGCAATATAATTTATTTATTTATTATAGCTTTATATATTAAATTAAAAAATTAATGCTAATTTTTATTCAAACAGGACCACCCAATATAATATTGGCTTGTATATTTTCCTTTGACCTTTCTATATTTATACTTATTAGTATTACACAAACCCTTATAACTACAAATAGAGCTTGATACTATTCCAACACTTTGAAGTCTTGACACCTTTCAGGTGGATATTATACCTAGTAGAATTGTATCAAATTCAGAGTAAGTTGAAGTTTTAAGTTTTTCACGTTCATTAGAGGAGTAATATATATTGATTCTGCCAAACTTTCATTCTAGTCAAAATTGTTGCTTACTAGTTTATTCTAAAATTTTGTAAGGCAAAGAGGGGCAATCAATACTAAACTAATCTATCTTAGGAATACTTATTTGAACAAGATCCCCAACCTTAAAATTATTTAATTTTTTTTTCAATATTTGCTTAGTCACCTTTTTGGTATATTGTTAAAGATCTTTTTAAGCAATAGTTCATAAAATTTTATATCATATAATATTTAAGTCTTGCTTTATAATATTAGATAGAACTAAATTTGGAGATTGGTCTGAAGAATTAAATTATAATATATAATAAAACAAAGGTTAAATTTAAGATTCTTACTATTATTGATATTGGCATTGGTATCGATATTAGCATCGATATCAAAAATAGTGTTGGCATTAATGTTGGTGTTGGTATTATTGTTGTTGTTGGCATTAATATTGGTATTAGAATTGATGTTGGTGTTGGAATTGGAACTAATATTGGTATTGGCATTGGCATCGATATTGGTATTGGCATTGGCATCAATGTTGGCATTGTCTAAAAAATCATTATAATCATTAGATTGGTTTAGATTTTGATCTAAAATATTATTATTAGTAAAGTAATAATAAATGAATAAACAAGTAAATTAATAAAAAAAAAAAACATGCCTTCCATATTATCATTCAAATTTAATATATCATTAATTTCAATTTGAACTATATTTGAAATCTCCTTTTTATTATAAATCTCTTTTCTATATAATTTATTCACCAAGGTACTGTTACTATATAGCTTATAGCTATAAACAAGTTCAAATAGTATTTTTTTATGAGAGCAATACTATGAATTATTTATTGCCACAACAACAAATTTCAAGCCAAATAACCAGTTCTTACGACCAGCATTTTCTTGCCACTTCTTTAATTTTTGTTGCAAAATCCTATTTGCTCATTCAACAAGCCTTTGTGATTAAAAGTGGTGAGGTCTTTCATTTATTATAGTTATAGTTGGCTATAACTTAATTAGTTTTTTAATGACCTGGGCCAGAAACTTTTTTCTATTATCTGACTGTAGAATTATTAGTAATGATTCAAGTAAAAGAAAAAGTTCAAATAGATATACTACAATCTTAATTGGCCTTTTAGAAGTAAGAGGCCTCACCCAGAAAAACCTGGTGAAGTAATCTCTCAAGTGACAAACATACTTAAATTCTTCATTCAGATCAAAAGATAAATCAATTAGATCCATCTATAAAAAAAAAGATTAATTGTAAACATAAAACTAAAATATGAATTATCTAAAACAAGTGATGAATTACCTGGATATATAACAAAAAATTATTAGCTATTATTGTACAGGTCTTATGTAACAACCTGTGCTTTTTTCACTCATTTACAGCATGTGTTTAAAAAAAATAACCAAATCGGAACACTTTCATATTTTATCAAATATGAAAGTGTTCCGATTTAGTTATTTTTATTGAATCAGTTGGTATTTACTTTTAATAATTGTAATTGGATGGAATTATAACTTTAGTAAGTTTTCACAATTTTAAAATTGTATATTAGATTAATTAGCAATGCATAATAAGATCTTATTTATTTAGCAAATATATCTAATATGTAAAAAAAAATCTTTACATAAAAGAAAAAATTCTGCAAATATGAATTATATTATTTACCAAATGTAAGATTTAAATTTATAGTTAAGGGTTTGTCAGTGAGTGGGATTTGAAGTATAATATTGTTGGTAATGGATTCAAGAGCATTTCTGGGTCGAATATAGTTTTGTGCAGTATTTAAATGATTCACTAATTCATATGATTGATTTTTTTGAGCATTATATGATTGATCTTCGTGAGTGTTATATAATTGATCTTCTTGAGCATAATATGATTGGTTTTTTTGAGCATTATATGATTGATTTTCTTGGATACTATATGATCGATTTTCTTGAGTTTTGTATAATTGATTTTTCTGAGTGTTATAAAATTGATTTTGTTGCAAATTAGATTTAGAATTTGAAATCTTTGCTTTCTTGACTGGTGGTTTAAAAGGTGCGAAAACAGTTGATCTTGATTTTGAATGTTTTATAATTTTGCGAGTTTTGGGCAATTTATGTTGTGAACTATCATTAATAATACTATTATTAGATGTTGCTATTACTCCTATTTCAGATTCAGACTAGCCATAATAGATGTTACAGAAATTTCTAAAAATAATATATAATAACAGATAAATAATAATTTAGCAGTTTTGTTTAACAATAATAAATATGTAGTACCACGTTCTAATATTCTTGAATCTGAATTAGATATTGTCGTTTCTATAGATTTAGATATATATAGTTGAAAATATAAAAATCTTATTATATAGAGTACATTTAATTTAAACTTTACAAGTATCTGAATTATCTTCTTCTGATTCATATGCAATATAAGATTCTTCAGAGTAATTATAATATTCTTTTAGATCTTCCTCGATTGTTGCAAATAGTATAAGTGATACTACAGAGTTTAACCATTGATTATCTGTAGGTTTGCTATAAGACCTGATACCCTCACGTGATTGGTAATCTGAAAAGGCTATTAATTCATCTTCAGGTGTATCGGATGCTTTTAGAAGCATAATAGCAGTTCTTCTTGCACTATGATTTGTGATCTTATAATCAACAAGAATAATACCAGTATTAACAGCAATTTGGTGTAATATTTTTTTAAGTTTGTTTGCACCCATACGTGAAGGTTTGTACCAAATTTCATTTTTGATATCTAAATGTATGTACATGAAATTGTATAAAAAAATTTAAAGTTAGAAATTAAATTTATACAACAAAATAAAATACTGGATACTTTTCTAACACATTCTAAAAAAAGTGGATCAGAATCTTGACATTTGGCAGGATGTTTAGATAAGTATGAAATTATATCTTTTATTAGTGTAAATTGATTTTCATTATTGTCAGGAGGAATCAGAATAGTATGTGTAGCAGTATGACCATATCGTCTACATTGAAAAACTTCACCCTAATTATTTTTTTTCTTTCTAAATTGTAGTTGTAACCCACTATCAGCTCGAGATTTGACATCACGATACTGCAAATTACTTGTATCTCCTCCATGAAGGCTACACAATAATGATAACCAAAAAAAAATTTGCCTTGTTAACCCTTCATCATTAGTAACTGAAAGGTAATTATGATTCAAACAAGCAGTAATTTTATTAGAAGTTAAGGCATCACTTGAATTTGTATCACCATATCCATCCATTTGTAATAAATGCATTTTTGCATCAAGATATTTTAAAGCTTTAGGAAAGTAATATTTATCCCATAAACGCACTTCACTTCCAATCGCACTATGTTCTCTTAAATAGCGTGCCAAGGCTGCATAACAGTTATGAACTGACTCTACTTTAAAAAGTGTTCCATCTTTTCGCTTTAACTATGCAATAAACAAACTGAGAAATTCATCAAGTTTATCTCTATTGTCAATTTGGTCTAGGTTTTTTTGGATATTATTTTCTTTTATATAATGGGTTATATGACAAAGCCATTTTTTAGTGTTTTTATCAGTGTTTTAACTTTAGAAAGGTTAGATAATTGTTGTCCTTCTTCTTGTAAATTGTTTAACATTTTAACAAGAAAGAGTGTGTTATCAATTTTAAATCACTAAAAATTCTTTTTTTATTTACAAATTAATCGTTACTTTTAATTAATTTTTTTTTAATTTTTATTAAAGTATTAAGTGACGCACGGGTTGTTACATTAAACCTGTACAATAATATAGTTATTGTATGGGATTGTATAAATAACTAAATTTGTATAAGTTAACTAGTGTCAAAATTTGACCGATCGATGTCTGGGCCCTGCAGGGGCCCAGATATCGACTAATCAAATTTTGATACTAGTTAACTCATGCAAATTTAGTTATTTTTTATAACCTATACAATAACTATAACTTATTGTCTTGGCTGATAAGAGGTAAAATGCAAGCTTATGAATAGCACACATAGTGCAATTATTAACAAACTTTTTAATAATGTCCTGCTTGATCTAGCTCTACCTTTTATGCACAGACTTCTATGTTTGTTTTTATCCTTCATGTTGCATAATCTCACTATAAACTTGACAAAAGACTTTATAAAATATTTTCTTTACTAGAATAGGGTTATTTGTTTTCTTTTCAATTACTCTATGATTACTAGATATAATCTCTTCAAGCTAGAATTTTTTTTTTGTCTAGCTATGAGTGTTTTTATTATATAATATATGATTTTTGGAGTTTAGTAAAATAGTTTGTATTTTTGCTAAAAGCTCATAGTTGATTAAAGCTTTTTTGCACTTTGATTTAGGAAGATTAAGTATATAATTATTTACAATTTGTTCTAAAGTGTTTCTACTAATGAAACTATATTCCATATTTAATAAAAATTAAACAATTTAATAAGCCTAAGAAAAGTTTTTTTTTTTTTTATAAAAGCCAAGAGGCCAAAAAATAAATAAAGTCTAGGCAAAAGTTTTATATCTATTTGGCTCTGATCAAATTATGTTTAATTGCTTGAATATATCTTTGAAACATTTTTATGATCATTTACTATTATTTACTATTATTTACTATCATTTACTATCATTTACTATATATTTAATGATTATTGCTATTTGCTGTATTGTTAAATAATTATCTGCATCATATTATGGTTTGAGACACCTCAGGTGACTGATTTAAAAATTATGCATCTTATTTGATAATTGGTGTGTTATCTTTAATCTAACATGGGAAAGAATATGAGGCACAATATATATAAAAAAAAGTGATATATGAGACAAATAAAAAAAAATTAACATATGTGAGGCAAATAAAAAAAAACATGAAGCAAATAAAACTTTGTAAAAACAATATTAAAAAAAACCCAAGGAAGTGCTATGGTAAAAGACTATAAATTTCTATCTAGCAAACTAAAAATAAAATCCATAAGTTCACATCATGCAATATCTAAAAACTATGAAATCACCAAATCACACAATAATACAAAATACCTAGAACAATGCATATAGACTATTATTAATACATATATATAAAACTATTCAAAAAAGCAATATCCAAAAACTATGAAATTACTAAATCACACTACTCTGGTAATAACAATACACAATGATACAGAACACCTAGAATATATAAAAACTAGAATATTATTAATATATATGGGGTGTTGTCAATAGAAACAGCCCATTTTTACATAAATTATATTTTGAGATAATTGAGTTTATTCATT